TATCCTTAGAATTCCAATTAGGGAAGAGGAGTCAGATGATTTTTGGGCCTGGAGTCTCCCCAAGGATGGTGGGTTCTCGGTTAAATCTGCTTACCATGCTTTTCACAAAGAAAACAAAAAACTTTCAACTGACAGGGAATGCAGAGACAGAGAACTTACAGAATGGATTTCCTGCCTGAGGTCCCCACTTCCCAACCTCACCTCTCCTACTCAGCTCAGGGGAACCCAACATACTACGAATCCCCCGCCAAGTAATCACTCGTTGGTGATTCACTATGATGGGTCGTTCTTAAGCAACTCCCAGACGACGACTTATGGTTTCATGGTTGTTAAGCACCATGGACAAGTGTGATGGGAGAGCTGAGAATCTTATTTGTTCCACTCGATTGAAGAGGAAGCGGAAGCTCTTTTGGAAGATCTAAAATTAGCATAAGAATATGGATAAGAATGTATAGTTCAATCTGACTGTCAGCTGTTGTTGAAAGCTCTTAATCAAAATCACTGTGGCCCTGGAGGTGTGCTGCCTAGATTAACTCTATGGTCACTATTATAAATGCACTGCTACGGATAGGGAAATCGCCGGAATCGAGAAAGAAAGAATACGAAAGCGAGAATCGAAAATACAAGGCACGTTTGTGTGGTTCACTAATACGATGTGTGTTAGCTAGTCCACGGGCGAGAGAGAGCCAGTTTCACTATATCGAGGAGATTACAGATTGTAGAGGAGATGAGAAGTATTTATACTTCTCCAAGTGGGTCTAAACCAAATCAAATCTGGCAAAGAAAACGGTTACAGACCAGGCCCATAACCCGAACCCAAATAACATTGAGCGCATAATAGCGAGACCCCCGACTATTTCAGTCATAGCGGCTGATAATCCGATTGAAGTCACATCAACAAATCTCCACCTTGACTTGAATCCTCTTCCTATGAAATCTCTAATGTACTCTGATCCTTCTCTATCTTTCCCACCATCAATGCCCCGTAGGGCGGAGTCACCCACTCAAGAGATTCAGCAATTCCAAGAAGAGTTGGAACTTGCCATGTGGAACCGGCTTCGTGAACATATCAGCAAGATTATCCGCGGTGCAAACCTTGTTCACCTTAATCCTCTTCTCTATCCTCAAGAAATGATACCTCGCGTTGATGTGCTTAGTCCTCTCATGGTGGACTTGATCATTGGCCAAGCATATTGCACTCAAACTGTCGCAATACACCACTGCCTGATTATGATGTAGACCCAGATCACCAACCAGTCCCTTCAACCATATTCCCTCCTTAGCAACTTCTATCAACGCCATATACTCAACCTCAGTAGTAGACAATGTCACCGCCGACTGCAAAGTTGCCTTCCAGCTCACTACAGAACTCCCAAGAGTGAATACATAACCGGTCATCGATCTCCTCGTGTCAACATCTCCAACATAGTCCAATTCAGAATACCAGACACCAAGCACTCTGTATCACTTCCGAAGCTAATCCCCACATCAGGTGTACCCTTAAGGTACCGAAAGACCCTCTTCACATCCTGCCAATGCTCCTTCTCAGGTTGTATCATGAACCTGCTGACAACACTAACAGCATGTGCAAGATCAAGTCTAGTGCATACCATAGCGTACATCAAGCTACCTACTGCAGTAGCATATGGGACTCTCGACATGTAATCCTTCTCGCCTTTGACTGCGGTGCATAAGCTGAAGATAGATGAACATTTGAAGCACTAGGAGTATTTAAGGGCCTTGCTGAAGACATGCCAAACATCGACAGTATCTTCTGGATGTAGCTCTTCTGTGACAAGAAAAGCTTCTTCTTTGACTTGTCCCTGTAAATCTCCATACCCAAGATCTTCTAAGCAACTCCCAAATCCTTCATCCTTAACTCAGCACTGAGAAGCACCTTTAACTTCTGGATATCATACTTCGACCTCGCAACAATGAGATGCGACCCCGCTCACCCCGCATGGTGTTACTCGAGCTCAAACTAGATATCTACATGGACCATGGTTCAAGAGACGATTTAAGAGGTTTAAAGAGAGCTTGGAGGCATTCAAGGTGGAAGAAAAGGTCTTTACAAGCAAGGCATACGAGTTTGTTGATGTGAAATCAATTGGTAGAATATATAATTCTGGTGGTCCAAAGATAAAGGTCCGAGTACGACGATACAAGGAACAAATGGGATCATTCTTGATGGACGTGGACTTGCTAGAAGGAAATTCCATCACATTGCTACGATTTATGGACTAGAATGAAGAGAAGATGGGCTTGGTATAAGGAAGGAAGATCTCCCATGGTGTGAACATAAGGTGTAAAAGGAATACAAGTGTGAAAGGAATATCAGGTGTGAACACAAGCCATGTGAGGGAGGATTGCAAGGCTAGAATATAGGGATCTAGAGGAGGATCGTGACGCCACTATAGCACGATTCCTATATGGTCTCAATCGAGAAATCAGAAACGTGGTGGAAATTCATCCCTAAGCGGATTTGTATGACTTGGTTGCAATGGCGGCCAAAGTGGAGAAACAACACCGTAGCAACGTTGGGAGGAGATTCGTGGCACCTCAAAATGCACCAAGGCTAGGAGGGCCTTCGGCTTCAAACCCTAGGCCAGCCATAACAAAGCCAGAAGCACCAAAACCAGAAGCCAAGGTTGAAGCACCAAGAGAGAAACCCGCAGGCTCTAGTGGAGGAATTCAATAGTTTAAATGCCATGGAAGAGGACATATGAACAACCAATGTCCAAACAAAAGAGCTCTTGTCTTGTTGGATAATGGAGAGTATGTATCGGAGTCTGAGGATGAACAGGAAGCTGATTCGGATCCTGAAGTGGATGAGAAGATAGAAATGGAGGCGCCACCAGGAGAACTTTTCGTAGCTAGAAGGCTTCTAAGCGTGCAACCCAAGGAGGAGCTTGAACAACGGGAGAACTTATTTCATACAAGGTGCACGGTGGATGGAAAACTACTATCGTTAGTAATCGATGGTGGGAGTTGCACTAATGTCATTAGTGTCTATTCGGTTAAGAAGTTGGGATTAAATACTTTGAAGCATCCCAAGCCATATACACTTCAATGGCTCAATGACCATGGTGCCATCAAAGTGACAAAACAAGCTCTCTTGAAGTTTTCAATTGGAAGGTACAAGGATGAAGTCTTATGCGATGTTGTGCCTATGCAAGCCGCGCATGTATTGTTTGGAAGGTCGTGGCAATTTGATGGAAAGGCACATCACGACGGAGTCACTAACAAGTACGAGCTAGAACATGGTGGGAAGAAGTTTGTGTTGAAGCCTCTATCACCCAAGGAAGTTTATGAAGATCAACGCCAAATGCAACGAAATTGGGAGAAGGAGCGGGAGTCTCAAGCTGCGAACAAGGGTGTGCATGAAGGGTCTAGTACCGTGGACACCAAGACATTGATGCTAGCACGTAGTGAAGATGTGAAGCCAAAAATTAATGAGTCATCACCTACTCAAGTTGATTTTTTCAAGGGAGAAGCTCTACAACAACATCAAATTTCGTCCCAAGGCATAATCAACGCCTCAAGTACTCCCACACCACCCAATTCTGCTCATTAGCATGGTCAAAACCCTCTTCAATGTAAGTCAATTCATATGAAAGATTATGTTAAGATTATTGACCACATTGATTTTGTTATTGGGGATGAAGTGACATACATAGAGGCTTATATTAGAGAAAGACGAAGACTCCAAGAGTTTGGGGATCATCTTAGCTTTCAAGGTGCATGGTCAAGTGGGAAAATAATGAAGTTACATGAGAGAATTTATATGTCGCAACAAGATTTGAGGTCAAATCTTTTTCAAGAGGGAGGGAATGATGCGACCCCGCTCACCCCGCATGGCGTTACTCGAGCTCAAACTAGATATCTACATGGACCATGGTTCAAGAGACGATTTAAGAGGTTTAAAGAGAGCTTGGAAGCATTCAAGGTGGAAGAAAAGGTCTTTGCAAGCAAGGCCTACGAGTTTGTTGATGTCAAATCAATTGGCAGAATATATAATTCTCGTGGTCCAAAGATGAAGGTCCGAGTACGACGATACAAGGAACAAATGGGATCATTCTTGATGGGCGTGGAATTGCTAGAAGGAAAGTCCATCACATTGTTACGATTTATGGACTAGAATGAAGAGAAGATGGGCTTGGTAGAAGGAAGGAAGATCTCCCATGGTGTGAACACAAGGTGTGAAAGGAATACAAGTGTGAAAGGAATATCAGGTGTGAACACAAGCCATGTGAGGGAGGAATGCAAGGCTAGAATATAGAGAGTTGTTGACCAAGTCTTTTTTTTTGTCTTTTAAGGATTGTGTTTTCCTTTTACTTTTCCTTTAAGGTTTTGTTTTCCTTTTAATTGTAGGATTTGGTCATTTGTTTGCTTTCTTTCTTAGTTTAGGATTGGATTTTCGTTGCCTATATAAGGAGGATGAGTCCCTCATTGTAATCCATTATTCAATTATCAATCAACTTTCAAGTTACAAGTTCATACGAACTAGTTCTTTGTGCAAGCTTCTGTTGAGAGTGCTCCAGGAGTTTCACGTGTCTCTTATCAACTAGAGAACGCGTCTAGTTGTGGCAAGCTTCTACCCAATAGCGATTGGCCTTATTCACGAGTGGGTGACTGTTTGATTGGTTTCATATACCAATTGGCCTTTCACACGAGTTGGAATTTGTTTGGTCTTGTTCCATCATTATCTTTTGTTCGAGTTCTTGTTCGTTGGAGAAAAGCTTCGAAAACCCATAAAAAGTAGGAAAGCTGCGTACTTTGGTCACATCACCTACTGCAGTAGCATATGGGACTCTCGACATGTACTCTGATAGACCGTCATTTACACATGTTTTTACCCCGTTCTTACACCGTTTGAGGTGTTGATTCTCGTGTTTTAGGCCGATTTCACGCTAGGTTGTGCTTGTTTGTGATATTTCAGGTCCTAGTACATGAATGAAGGCTTAGGAGCGAGTCTGGAGTCGAGTGGACGAAGAACGGACGAATGGCGAGGTTTTTGGGGAGCTGCACGGGCAGACCAGGGAGGCTGCACGGCCGTGCACGGTTGCAAGTTGGCCGTGCGCCTTATGCCGAGGACGTGCACGGGCACCCCTGAAGATCTGCACGGCCGTGCACCTGGCCGTGCAAGATGGTTGAAGGCCGACTAAATGAAACGCTGCGTTTTGGAGTGCACGGCCAGAATGGTGATGTGCACGGCCGTGCGAGTCGGGAAAGCCTGGTTTTAGAGCCTATTCCGAGCCAAAAGAGAGAGAATCGTTTTTTGAGAGCAAAAACAGAGCCCTAGAGAGAGAAAGTGCGAAGAACACACCCTAGAAGCTGTCTTAGAGCTGGATTTCATCGAATCGAGCTTGGAGGTCGTCATAGGAGTGGAAACCATCGTCCCGGAGCAGATTATCCTCATCGTTATGAGTATGACTAATCCGATTCTTGTTTTCTCTTCTCTCTCTATGGAGTAGAACCCTTCTCTCACTTGGGTATGAAGAACCCTAGTTCCTTGTGTTAGGGATTTGATTGTAATGACTTGGGATGATATTACTGTTTGATTTTAATCGAATGATGCATGTTTATTGAATTGATTTGAGTCTGATCAGCTTTTCTCAATTTCTGCTTCAACCTGAGATAGATAGAATCTGATTAGGTTGTTAGAGCCTCTTCATTCGATAGTAGGAGATTGGCTATACGAGAGTTAGCCAGTTTACTGCTTTGTACTGGTGTTCTTGGCGCCAGTAGTGGAGTTCTGTGTTCATAGCCTCAGCTTTCTATCCCGGTGAAGACTAGTCGTCTGCCGGGTAGTTAGACTGAGAGGGCTTGGTCAGCTTAAGAGATTCCAAGCTACTGTCGGATCTTCCGCAGTCTAATCAACAGTAAATCAACCCAGGGAATTGCAATTGAACCTAACTAAGGGGCTAGGGGGACTCAATCCCGAGTGACTCTTGCCTGCTTTAGAAACCGAACAATTTACTGCTTTCTTGTTGCTTTTACTTTTCACAACAATCATTCGAACTAGTTTGCTAGATAATAGAGAATCACGGAGTAAGCAGTAGATCTAGACCCCGGGTTGATAATTAAACTTGCCTGTTACTGCAGTCCCTTTCATTGGTTACACTTGGCCATTGTTAGGTGTTGTGTTTTAGCGTGTCAAGTTTTTGGCGCCGTTGCCGGGGACACTTCTAGATTATTGGGGAAACGTGAGAATTTGTTACTCTAGCTTTTATTTACTGCATTTTATCTCTTTCACCTGTGTGCCTTCACGGGTTGCTTCTGCTGATTGTGTGCAGGTAGTGCATGACCCGTAGCCAGTCGGGAGATCTACTACCATTAGACCAGGAGCTTGAACGAACCTGCAGGAACTCCAAGCGGGTTCTAAAGGCGCGACTGGCTGCGGAGGAGGCACTAACGCAGCTGCAGATCGGAGAAGAAGAAGAAGGCGAGATGGGTGATCCGCAGAACCGTGCTGTGATCCCCGAGGAGCAGACCATGGGATCCTACTGGACCGCTAGGGCTGCGGACATGAGGTCACCCATTCAACACCCTCAGGTCCCAGCCAACAACTTTGAGGTGAGCACCTCCGTGATCACCATGCTGCGCGGTTCAGTAGTGTTCCGTGGTAAGGAGGGAGAGTGCCCTCAATCACATCTCAGGCGATTCCACGAGCTCATCGATGGAATCAAGATCAATGGGGTACCGGCAGACGCCATCCAGCTGCGGTACTTCCCATTCACTCTGGAGGGGCAGGCCAAGGAGTGGCTAGACACTCGACCTCCGGGCTCCATCACCACGTTCGCGAACCTGGCGGACAAGTTCCTCACCCGCTACCATCCTCCATCCAAGACAGCTGATCTCCAGAAGCAGATTACACATTTTTCTCAGGATGAGGATGAGACCATTAGGGATGCTTGGGAGAGATACACCAGCCTCTTTCTCAGGTGTCCCAATCATGGTTTCAATGATGCGTTCAAGGTGGGCACCTTCTATCACGCCCTCTTCCCGGAGGACAAGCAGCTGATCGATTCGGTTTGTGGCGGGAACATGCTGACCAAAACCCCGCCACAGCTGAATCAACTCTTTGAAGAGATGGCGGAGAATGGTTATGATTGGGGCACTGCCAGGAGGTCGAGGAGAGCACCCAGCCGAGGTGTACATGCTGTGGGCACCCAGTCATCTGATTTGGTGCTGGTAGTATCGAAGCTGGTCTCAGCTATCGATCGTTCCGGAATGATTCCAGGGACCGGACAGCAGCAGGCGATGCTCTGCCAATGGTGCGAAAGCACCCATCATACGGTGGAGGACTGCCAAGCAATGAAGGAATCAACCACACCCCAGGAGCAGGTGAACTTCATCAACAATGTCAGGCGCAATGACCCCTACAGCAACACGTACAATGAGGGGTGGCGCCAGCATCCTAACTTCTCCTGGGCTGGGCCAAATCCCAAACCACCAGCTCCCCAGGGACCACCGGACTTCCAGAGGCCACCATATCAGCCCAGACAGGGGCAATTCCAGCAGCAACAACAGCCTCTTTATCAGCCCATGCAGGGGCACGCTGCTCAATCACAGCCGCGGCCTTTCCAGCAGCCAGGTGCAGCCCCTGCTGCCCCAGTGCAGAATGATCAGATGGCTGAACTGCGGGACTTGGTGGGTTCTCTCGCCAGTACTAGTGCTCAGAAATTCAACACCTTTGAGCAGTTCATGGAGAAGGCCTCGGGTAAACTCCTGGCTCTTGACGCTGGTCAGAGGAACACACAGGCTGTTTTGCATGATATCCAGACCCAGCTGTGGAGCGTGGCCCAGGCAGTGGCTCAAAGGGCTCCTGGTACTCTACCCGGGCAGACCATTCCTCACCCGCCGACCCCGGATGAGCGCTGCAATGCCATCATGACCAGGAGTGGCAAGCTGACTGTTGATCCCCCTGCTCGGGAACCGGAGAGAGAAAGCCCTGTTGCAGCATCTCCAGCGGTTGAACAAGAAGTAGAGAAGGAGGTTGAGGTGCCTGCACCTAAACCGCAACCAGTAGTGAAGGAGTATGTCCCTAAACTCCCTTTCCCTACTCGGTTGCACAAAGACAGGCTGGAGGCAGAGTTCGAGAACTTCATGGCCATGCTTAAGAAGCTGAATGTCCAAGTTCCCTTCCTGGAGGCACTATCGCAAATGCCGAAGTATGCGAAGTTTCTGAGAGAGCTTCTCTCAAAGAAGCAGAAGCTGAGTGAGCTGGCCACTGTGGAGCTCAGCGAGGAGTGCTCGGCTATTCTGCAGAACAAGCTTCCGCAGAAGAAAAAGGACCCAGGTAGTTTCACTATCCCGTGCTCTATTGATAAATTGCATGTAGAGAAGTCCTTGGCGGATTTAGGTGCTAGTATCAATGTTATTCCATATAAATTGTTCATGAAACTAGGCCTAGGTGAACCCCGTGCTACTAGGATGACCCTTCAATTAGCTGACAGATCTATAGTGCATCCTAGGGGTATAGTGGAAGACCTTCTGGTTAAGGTTGGCAAATTCACATATCCTGTGGATTTTGTTATCCTGGACATCAGTGAGGACACAGAAGTGCCTCTTATACTGGGAAGGCCTTTCCTGGCCACCGCCAAGGCTCTCATAGATGTGCATGATGGGACCTTAGTTTTGAGGGATGGCGAGGAGCGAATAACGTTTTCAGTTGCTAACACTATACCTGCTTCGTTACCTCTGCATGCTGTATCTCACCAGGAGCACGAGTCTGTCGTGTATCCTTCTGTGCTGCCTATTTTGCAGGACCCGCCTCCCACACCTTCGCCGCCACTCCTGACCACTCAATCACCAAAAATACAGATCAAGGAGGAGTGGCGGCCGAAACTCCAGGCAGCTAAGCCCGCTCGAACGAAAGCCGGAGACCACTATGAGCTGGTCCCGCCCCCACCTTGGCCATCCGAGTATTCGCTCGCTTGCATCCTACCGAATTGCCAAGTCAGGCTGGCAAATGCAGGTGGCCACATTCGTCGCGTGCATGGCCACCATTTGAAGCTGTACCTCAAGAGCGATGTGGATCCGCTCTTGAAGGAACCTGATCCCACACTTCCCTGAGCATCCATACTGGCGTCCAGCTAAAAGACGGTAAAGAAGCGCTTGTGGGGAGGCAACCCCACCGAGGTTTGCATTTTCTTACCATTTTTCCTTTGATTTTGTGTGTTTTTTAGTCTTGAGACGTTGATCCAGAGTCCAGTGTCGTTTTTGAGTGAAAACAGGTTGATTTCGGGACCCCAGCAAGTCGCACGGCCAGGATCACACCTTGCACGGCCGTGCGCTCAGCCTGGCCTGGCTGTGCGAGCTCTCGCATAAAATGGCACGGCCAAATTTGTATTGTGCACGGCCGTGCAACATCTTCGGCCAGGCCGTGTGTCTTGCACGGGCAACATAATGCCTCGCACGGCCGTGCGGGTTTCCCCCATTGGCCGTGCGAGCTCTCGCAGAAAATGGCACGGCCAAAATTGCCTTGTGCACGGCCGTGCAGCATCCTCGGCCAGGCCGTGCCGGCCTGCACGGGCAAAAGCAACCCGTGCACGGCCGTGCGCCCTGCCCGTGCAGCCGAGGCACGGTCTATATAAATGCCCGTCTGTTCACTGGCCAACCTAGACTTGATTCAACCACTTACTTAAAACAGTCAACTCATGCATCCAACTCAAGACATTAGAATAGAGACCGAGGTTGTTATTGAGGTTGTGCATGTATTGATGTTTGAAAACCAGTGCGACTCACGTGTTCTGTGCCTTTATGACTTGTCCCCAATGTTGGTTGATTGAAATATGTAAGCTTACCTAGTGTCTGACTTGGTTTGCTTGGGGACAAGCAAACGGTTAAGTGTGGGGGAGTTTGATAGACCGTCATTTACACATGTTTTTAACCCCGTTCTTACACCGTTTGAGGTGTTGATTCTCGTGTTTTAGGCCGATTTCACGCTAGGTTGTGCTTGTTTGTGATATTTCAGGTCCTAATACATGAATGAAGGCTTAGGAGCGAGTCTGGAGTCGAGTGGACGAAGAACGGACGAATGGCGAGGTTTTTGGGGAGCTGCACGGGCAGACCAGGGAGGCTGCACGGCCGTGCACGGTTGCAAGTTGGCCGTGCGCCTTATGCCGAGGACGTGCACGGGCACCCCTGAAGATCTGCACGGCCGTGCACCTGGCCGTGCAAGATGGTTGAAGGCCGACTAAATGAAACGCTGCGTTTTGGAGTGCACGGCCAGAATGGTGATGTGCACGGCCGTGCACCCTGGCCGTGCGAGTCGGGAAAGCCTGGTTTTAGAGCCTATTCCGAGCCAAAAGAGAGAGAATCGTTTTTTGAGAGCAAAAACAGACCCCTAGAGAGAGAAAGTGCGAAGAACACACCCTAGAAGCTGTCTTAGAGCTGGATTTCATCGAATCGAGCTTGGAGGTCGTCATAGGAGTGGAAACCATCGTCCCGGAGCAGATTATCCTCATCGTTATGAGTATGACTAATCCGATTCTTGTTTTCTCTTCTCTCTCTATGGAGTAGAACCCTTCTCTCACTTGGGTATGAAGAACCCTAGTTCCTTGTGTTAGGGATTTGATTGTAATGACTTGGGATGATATTACTGTTTGATTTTAATCGAATGATGCATGTTTATTGAATTGATTTGAGTCTGATCAGCTTTTCTCAATTTCTGCTTCAACCTGAGATAGATAGAATCTGATTAGGTTGTTAGAGCCTCTTCATTCGATAGTAGGAGATTGGCTATACGAGAGTTAGCCAGTTTACTGCTTTGTACTGGTGTTCTTGGCGCCAGTAGTGGAGTTCTGTGTTCATAGCCTCAGCTTTCTATCCCGGTGAAGACTAGTCGTCTGCCTGGTAGTTAGACTGAGAGGGCTTGGTCAGCTTAAGAGATTCCAAGCTACTGTCGGATCTTCCGCAGTCTAATCAACAGTAAATCAACCCAGGGAATTGCAATTGAACCTAACTAAGGGGCTAGGGGGACTCAATCCCGAGTGACTCTTGCCTGCTTTAGAAACCGAACAATTTACTGCTTTCTTGTTGCTTTTACTTTTCACAACAATCATTCGAACTAGTTTGCTAGATAATAGAGAATCACGGAGTAAGCAGTAGATCTAGACCCCTGGTTGATAATTAAACTTGCCTGTTACTGCAGTCCCTTTCATTGGTTACACTTGGCCATTGTTAGGTGTTGTGTTTTAGCGTGTCATACTCCTTCTCAACCTTTGACTGCGGTGCATAAGCTGAAGATAGATGAACATTTGAAGCACTAGGAGTATTTAAGGGCCTTGCTGAAGACATGCCAAACCTCGACAGTATCTTCTGGATGTAGCTCTTCTGTGACAAGAAAAGCTTCTTCTTTGACATGTCCCTGTAAATCTCCATACCCAAGATCTTCTAAGCAACTCCCAAATCCTTCATCTCAAACTCAGCACTGAGAAGCACCTTTAACTTCTGGATATCAGACTTCAACCTCGCAACTATGAGCATGTCATCCACATACAGAACAAGATAGATCATCGAACCACCTTGCTGTGATACACACAACAATCATATGGACTTTTGTTGTAGCCCAGATCAAGCATGTAGCTGTCAAATCTCGTGTACCGCTGCCTTGGAGACTGCTTAAGTCCATACAAGGACTTCTTCAGCTTACAAAAATAGTCTTCTTTTCCCGGAACCTGGAATCCTTATGGCCGAGTCATGTAAATTTCTTCCTCCAACTATCCATGTAGGAAAGCTATCTTCACGTCTAGCTTTTCGACCTCCAAGTCATAATGTGCCACTATTGCTAGTAGCACCCTGATCGAAATATGTCTAACCACTGATGAGAAAATCTCATTGTAGTCAACTCCTTCCCTCTGTGAGAAGCCTCGTGCAACCACCAGAGCTTTAAATTTTAGCCCTCTTCAGAAGTGATTCCTTCCTTCTTCTTGTAGTTCCACTTGTTTGTAACAATCTTCCTTCCCTGTGGTCGTTTGACTAGCTCCCAAGTCTGATTCCTGTCATGGGATTTCATCTCATCTCCCATTGCGGCAAGCCACTGATCAGCTTCGCCACCCGAAACATCTTCTCTATAGGATTGTGGTTCACCTACATCCACTTCTCCAGCAACCTGAAATGAGTACGCCACCATGTCCTCGAAGCCTGACACGCCAAAACACAACACCAAACTGCGACCAAGTGTAATCGCAGTCCGGGAATGCAGTAACAGGCAAGTTTAATTATCAACCCGGGGTCTAGATCTACTGCTTACTCCGTGATCCTCTATTATCTAGCAAACTAGTTCGAATGATTGTTGTGAAAAGTAAAAGCAACAAGAAAGCAGTAATTTGTTCGGTTTTCTAAAGCAGGCAAGAGTCACTCGGGATTGAGTCCCCCTAGCCCCTTAGTTAGGTTCAATTGCAATTCCCTGGATTGATTTACTGTTGATTAGACTGCGGAAGATCCGACAGTAGCTTGGAATCTCTTAAGCTGACCAAGCCCTCTCAGTCTAACTACCCGGCAGACGACTAGTCTTCACCGGGATAGAAAGCTGAGGCTATGAACACAGAACTCCACTACTGGCGCCAAGAACACCAGTACAAAGCAGTAAACTGGCTAACTCTCGTATAGCCAATCTCCTACTATCGAATGAAGAGGCTCTAACAACCTAATCAGATTCTATCTATCTCAGGTTGCAGCAGAAATTGAGAAAAGCTGATCAGACTCAAATCAATTCATTAAACATGCGTCATTCGATTAAAATCAAACAATAATATCATCCCAAGTCATTACAATCAAATCCCTAACACAAGGAACTAGGGTTCTTCATACCCAAGTGAGAGAAGGGTTCTACTCCATAGAGAGAGAAGAGAAAACAAGAATCGGATTAGTCATACTCATAACGATGAGGATAATCTGCTCTGGGACAATGATTTTCACTCCTATGACGATCTCCAGGCTCGATTCGATGAAATCCAGCTCTAGGACAGCTTCTAGGGTGTGTTCTTCGCACTTTTTCTCTCTAGGGCTCTGTTTTTGCTCTGAAAACACGATTCTCCCACTTCTGGCTCGGATTAGGCTTTAAAAACCGGTTTCCCCGAGTTGCACGGCCAGGTGCACGGCCGTGCACAACATCATTCTGGCCGTGCACCCTGAAACGCGCCGTTTCATTTAGTTCGAACTCAGACATCTTGCACGGCCAGGTGCACGGCCGTGCAAGCTTCAGGGCCTGCCCGTGCATGGCCTCGGCATGAGGCGCACGACCATATGGCTCAAGTGCACGGCCGTGCAGCCTCCCTGGTCTGCCCGTGCACTCCCCAAACAGCTCGCCATTCGTCCGTTCTTCGTCCAATCGACCCCAGACTCGCTCCTAAGCCTTCATTCACGTACTAGGACCTGAAATATCACAAACAAGCACAACCTAGCGTGAAATCGGCCTAAAACACGAGAATCAAAACCTCAAACGGTGTAAGAACGGGGGTAAAAACATGTGTAAATGACGGTCTATCAAAGCCATACCTCTGTGAAGGTACTCCTGTAGTCGCTCTCTTCGGTCTATCGGAAACCATAGACTATATAGCTCGTGCACTGGACTCTGAAGTTTCTGGCTCTGCAGAAACATTCTCATGTTGATCTTCTCCGCCTTGGTTGTCAAACTCACTCTCATTGAGAGTTTGCAGCTCCACCTGCTTATCAACATTCCTTCTACCTTCAACAATAGTAACCTTCAGCATGGGGTTAAGTATAGACTTCTCATCAAATATCACATTTCTACTGAGTATAACTCGATGCTCGGAAGGTGACCAAACTCGAAATCCGTTAACTCCATCTCGGTAACCCACAAATACATCCTTCTTTGCCCTTGGGTTCAGTTTACCCTCATCCACATGATAATAAACAGGACACCCAAAAACTTTCAGTGAAGAGTAATCATCAGGCTTACCATACCACACTTCATAAGGAGTCTTACACTCGATACTTGTGTGAGGTCCACGGTTGATCAAAGAACACGCCATGTTTACTGCTTCTGCCCAGAACCTTCTCTCTAGTCCAGCATTAGAGAGCATGCACCATGCTCTCGCCAACAATGTTTGGTTCATCCTTTCTCCAATGTCATTCTGCTTGGGTGTATCTCTAACGGTCCGATGACGGGCAATCCCTTCATCCTTGCAAAACTTGTTGACATCAGAATTGCAGAACTCTAGACCATTGTCCGTTCGCAGCTTCTTGATCTTCTTCCCGGTCTGATTCTCCACCAATGTCTTCGACTGCTTGAACTTCGTGAAAGCCTCACTTTTCTGCTTCATCATGAAAATCCAAGTAAATCTCGAATAATCATCAATAATAGACAGAAAATACATGCTGCATCCAATGGATTCAACTCGTGAAGGACCCCAACAGTCGAAGTGGAGGTAATCCAGTATCCCCTTCGTCCGGTGGATACCCTTCTTGGGAAACTTGCAGCGATGTAGCTTCCCAAACACACAATGCTCACAGAACTCCAAATTCTGCACCTTGTGCCCGCAAAGAATATCCCTCTTCGACAGAACTTGCATCCCCCGTTCACTCATATGCCCCAGTCTCGTGTGCTAGAGAGTGGTCATATCTTCATCATGAACCTGAGATGATGCAACTGCACAGAACCTGATAACACATTTCCTTGTAATGCATACAAGGTACCACATTTCACGCCTTTCAGTACCTTTCTCGAACCCTTGCAGACATACACAACTCCACCTTTTCCTTTTGTTAACATGGCCTTGAAATAGCTCCTCGTTCCAGCTCCTATCTCTTTGATCGATCCAGTCATTAATCCTCAGGTTCTACTGGGACCACTACTAATGCCAAAGTTGTGTAGAGATGGGATCCACGGGTCAAGACCAACCCAAATATCCTTTCCCGACCCTATGACCTTAATAGCTCCCATGTTGATGATTTTTTTTTGCCTCTCAAACACTAGCCCAAATCCAAGAAGATCTACTGCCCTTTTTTGCTTGGAGAAAGTCCCCTATCGGGAAATAGAGGCCCTTGAGAAGACGACACCAAAAGGAACCAGGGTAATTTAGGAGCCGCCATGCTTGCTTAGCCAAAAGGGCCATGTTAACGTCTTTGAAATTCCGAAATCCTAAGCCCTCTTCCGATTTAGGAGTGCACAGTATCTCCTTCCTACACCAGTGCAGACTAGTCTTCTGCATTGATCTTGACCAGAAGAAATTGGTAAGGAGAGAGTCCATTTTCTTGGTAAGGGTCACGGGGAGGTGTAAAAGGTACATGATGTAGGAGGGCATAACTTGAATAACACCTT